ACCCCCCCACGTGTTGGTGGAGCCTCTGTTGAGAAGACAGAGGCCCACCGAGGCCGCCCACTCCTCTACGGCCTCGCCCCTTGCGTCCGTCCTGGGGGAACCCCACGCAATGGACTTTGCGTTGAAGTCCCCCAGCACAAGGACGTGCCCAGACGCTAGTCGCCGTATCGAGGTCTCCAAGCTGGTTAGGAAAACCTCGAAGTCGTTCAAACTCCGGTTGGGGGAGAAATAAACACCATATATGGTGATCCCCCCCCCACTCGACGGCAACATATCCAGTGCCCTTGTCTCTTAGCGACAAGGGCGGGGAATGAGCCGTCGTGGAACCGACGACTGCCACGGAGCCGTCCCGGTCACCCATCCAGTTTGGACGGGGAGGGACAAAATAGGGCTCCGCGACTACGGCAACACCTATCGACCACTGTGCCATGGTTTGCAGGAAGAGATCCTGCGCCGCGGCACAGTGGTTCAGGTTCGTCTGGACCAGGAGGTTGGAGACTTGATCCATTACTGGATCGTCTCTACAACCTCCTCCATGGGCGACGACGTCGACGCACGTACTACATCGGAGGCAGCCTGGGTCGATTGGCTAGCCCCTGACGTCTGCCGAGAACTGCGGGGAGGCTTGCAGCCTCTCTGCCCCATCTGGTGATTGGCGGGCTTATTGCCCGCCGCACACGCTGGGCAGTGAGGGGCGGCAGAGCATTCTGCCGCCTTATGCCCCGGTTGACCGCAGCGGAAACACAGTCCGCCGCAGTCGAAACAGCTATCGCAATTGACGCGCGTGTGTCCCGTGGCCAGGCATTTAAAACACCTCATCGGTCTCGCCGCCAGGACTGTGATCCTGGCGCTCACGAAACCGATGAGCAGCCTGCCGGCATCGGCCAATACTTTGGCCGACGCTACGGGACAGCTGACCCACACGGCGCCAAGCCCTCCTGGACCGGGGCGGATGGTGCCGACCCTGACGTTGTCCGCGCTGCACCCCGTCTTCTCCCGGATTACAGCGCGGACATCTTCGGCCGTCACTGAGTCGTCCAGGCCCGAGATGCGCAGTTCCGCGCACTTGGTAGGCCTGGCGACCCTGACACCATCTGTGGCCGCAAATATTCCCCGCAGCCTCTCAGCGAAGGAGTCCGCCGTCTTTGCGCCTTCAGCCCCAGGGAACTCGAGGACTCGAGCTCCCGTCTGGGCGAGGCGCATCCTGACCCCCATCGTTCCAAAATCGTTGGCGAGGCTGTCCCGGGCCTTTTTGAAGACGGCCGCGTAGGACAGCCCGCCGTCCGCTGCCTCCGGGGACACGGTCACCACTACAGCCGCGGTTTTGGGCGGCTGCAGCTTCCGCGGCCTCTTTGTGGAGGCCGTTGCCACCGGTGGCGAAGGCTGGGCTTGGGCTGCTTTTTTGGCAGCCTTTTTGGCCCGCCTTCTGGACTTCTTGGAGCCCCTCGCCTCCTGCCAACCCTCGTTGGAGGGGGCAGGTGCGGAGGGGCCCGGCAGGGGTGTCGGAGTGGGGAGCGGAGAGAATGCCACTCCGCTCCTCGGCGCCGTTTTAGGCCCCGTCTTGGCCGGCGCCTGGGGATGTGCCTTGGCCGGCGCCTTAGCCGGTGCCTTGGCCGGCGCCTGGGCCGGTGCCTTGGCCCCCCTCCTCGGCTTTTGGGGAGCCGATGGAGTAGGGGCAGACGCCGCCGCCGCGTAAGAAACGCGGCCTCCCACCACGGGGAGCGCGGTCGGAGCGGCGGCCTTAGGCCGCTGTGCCGACGCGAGCGGGGGGCGCACAATCGGCGCAGGGGGCAGTCTCGCCTCCAGGCCAGCCAGGCGTCCGTCCAGCATATTCCCAACTGCGATGAGGATTTCCCGCAGTTGGGAGTCAAATGCCCCTGAGTTGGTGGTAGGGGCAAGCTGGGACGCGGACGGGGCTTCCCGCTCGGGGAGGTCCGCCTGGAAGCGGGCGAACTGAGCACTCAGCTCGTTCACCCGCTCCGTCAGCCTCTCGTTGGCCACCTGTAGGCGCGAAACGTCGCCCACTAGGCCCTCCACGACCTCCGACAAGGCGGAGGAGGAGTCCTTAAGGGCCCTCACAAACGAGCCCTTAAGGTTCACGGAACGGTTCCCGAACCTTGAGCAGGAGATCCGCGATCTCCTCCTCCGCTACGGCCTCGCCGTCCACCCGTAACACAAACCCTATACCAACCCGTCTGGCCAGCGTGGTATAGTAGGCCAAAACCTCCTTTCTAAGGAGAGGCCTATGTCCAGCAGTGGACTAGTAAAGGCTCTTGATGATGATGTAAACCAGATATTTTGTAAAAAACAAGCTATACTTTATTATCCAACATCCGTTAATAGCATTCCTCCATTTCCTCCTCTTTAAAGTTGTTTAGTACCTACAATATAAAGTAGTTTAGTTCTTAGAGAATGGGTTAAGTCAGCGAGATTCGTTTAGTATATTTGTTTGTTATCATTGTGTTTATACCTTCATTTACAGGGTTTTAGGGACGTGAGCAGGAAATAAAAACAGTCTAATAAGACAAGGGTCGCTCTCAGTCCGTTTACGACCATATTAACCGAACCCTTTGCCTTAGTCAGGATCTTTTATCATTTTTTTCATGACTCCATAGAATACATTATACGGTAAAGTGAACGTAATTATTTTATTTCAAACATTAAAGTGTCGAGGTTATTCCTTTTTTATATGTGCGAAACAGTGCTTTGGCCGTGACATATGAAAACTGCATTCATAAAAAATGTAAGTGATTAATTAAAGCAAAAAAACTATTACATACAGTCAGTGTTAATTATCTAGTCTTTACAAATATGAATAACACCTACAAAAACTTTTATTTCGTGGCTTGACTTTTATTTATGGCGTAGTGGTTTAAGCGGTCACCTCGCCGCTTCCTACTGCGCTGAGTGTTGTGGGTTCTATCCCCACATGGGACAACACTTTGTGTGATCCACAAATTGTTGTTCTGAGTCTGAGTGTCCGTTCATGTATGTTTGTAAAGTCCCCCGCGACACAGGATTTATTCCTAGTGCGGGAGATGTCTTTAAAAAAGAAAAAAACAAACAAAATTTATACCGATATTCAATATATTTATAATTAAAATTAATTAACATTTTATTGCAAATATTCACGTTGACATTATATTTGTATGATATAATTATGTTTATAAATCATCATGTTCAAACATGTTATAACTAGTTATGTTAACAATCTAGTTCCGAAACTTGTATATTGTTTAGGGACGGGTGCTATGTCTCCCGGCAACAGAAATCCTCCGGATCCTCCGACCAGGTTGAAGTTAGGAAGTATAAGCTACTGATTGACACTTTTCGTGATCAGAAGGCTGGCCTTTTTCTAGCACAGAGAACTAGCATTGCTATTCAACGTGGCAATGCTGCCAGTCTTCTGGGAACGCTACCAGTAGGCGATGATGCGGAGGAATTTTTTGATGCTTGTACGCAAATAGTATAAATGTTGTAAATATTCTAACTTAATTAATTTTTATTCTTAATTTCATTTTTATTTTTATTTAATTCAAGTTTCAATAAAAGCATTGTAATGATAAAAGGAAGTATATGTATGTCCTGTCCGTGTGGTGACGGATTAAGAATATGGAGTATCGCCACCCCTATGAATTACGCACAACAACACTACTGCAAAGAGAAGGAAAAATTGAAACAAACCTTATACCAACCCGTATGGCCAGAGTCGTATAGTAGGATAAAACCTCCTAGGCCTATGTCTAGCAGTGGACTGCTAAAGACTGTTGATGATGATGTGTGAAAAAAATTCTTATTCCATGTAGGATAGGTTTTGATTCCATAGTTCACTGTATGTTTGTTAGAAGGTATTGGTGTGGGTTATTCGTTGTCTGTAGAAGTCGCTACAAAATTATTATTTTTTAATTCGATTTTAAGGACGATAACGAATCAATTATTTAGAAATGGAAAATACGGTAGAAAGATTTGAATAGAACTGATAATTAATTAAATTATTAATCTATTGAATAACTATAAAAGGTCCCTATTAACCTATGAGAACAATCAATATAACGACCATGAAATGCTAGTTTAGACTTAGTACGTTGATCCATCCGGGCCAACGCACTCTACGTCTTAAAACAGCATTTCCCGGGTCCCTGGCACAGAGTAGCACACCGTATGATTTTAGTAGGTTCGATTCAGACATACCCTAAACCCCGATACGGTGACGGCCCGAAGGGGTTGCCACAAAAAAAAAACCTTAGTGCGTTAGTTAGTAATTTGTTATTCTAAACAATAATTGATTTGAGTAAATATGAAATTCGTAAAATTTAAAAATTTGATTAAATAGTTACGAAAAATAAATGTCTAAATTTTATCTGAATTGTCGGGTCCCTATTATAATCATTATACCATTAAAACACTAAAACTATGAGTAAATAGTAAACTTTCAGTGGCACTATAAGCAATGATGATAGGTACATATTCTCAAAATCTTCTACTGTAGAACTCTGGACACTTTTTTCACAGCAGAAACGGGCCTAGTGGCCTTGTGGTTAGCGAACCTGACTGGTCGTGGGTTCAATTCCTACCCAGAAAAAATAATCGTGTGAAAAGCACGATCATTTGTTCTGTGTCTGGATGTAATTTGTCTAATGTTGTCTAATGTCCATGTTTATTAACAGTCTGATTACCATAGTGTACAGGCTCTGTTTAGTTTGGGATCACACTGCCGTGTGTGAGATGTAAGAAATTATTATTATTATTTACCATTTGTGTGCATGAACATTTGATGTTTTATTTGGTCGGAGTGTTTCTATGTATAATATGTATGTATTTCCAAAAAAAAAGTATATATATGTATTTATATCAGTTGTCTAGTACCCATAGTACAAGCTCTGCTTAGTTTGGGACTAGATGGCGTTGTGTGGATGTGGTATAATATTATTATGTTAGGTGGCATTCGCTTAAGTTTCACCGCACATTTCACTAATAATAAACTATTCTATCGATTCCAGTGATCCGACTCCCTACACGTCTCGTCTGCTGCCGTTCAAATGGCTCCCCAGCAAACGGTTCAACCCCACATCGCTAGTGATAGACACGGAGATCAGCACCGCGCCAATGTGGGATGAACACCCGGTGCAACTGTGGAACGACACATATAACAAATACAGAAGAAAAGATTACGGGTTTAAGCAATTTCAACACTACTAACACATTCATAAGGTGGAAAAAAACAGTTAATGACAAATGTCAAATTATCCAACTGATGGTAAATACCTCGTTGCCTGGGGAGGACCAAAGTTTACACTTCGTACAAAGATTATTGGACTCTCAGGTAAAGGAACTTAGAGCTGCGATTCAAATGACTCCAAAAAAGGCAGTTAAGTCAAGAGTTCAATGGTCTATAATGGTTTTTTTATAGTGAAACATTCGCTGTATAAAATAAAATTAAAGTGCATAGTTATTTATTTGCCTGTGACTGCTTTTTACATTTATTTAGTAATGTTTTTTGCGTTACTTAAAACTTCTGATTATTGGTTTTTTAAACTATAAAAGTGCTCTTACAAAGGTAACGTAATAATAATCCTATAAATATATCATTAAAAGCAAGGGTTTTTCCGGCTCAAATATGTACGTTATAACTTTTTAGTAACAACTGGCTGATTTACATTACTCAAGAATTGAGCTGACAAATAATAATAAATAATAGTTCAGGATTATCTTATATATGTATAAAATTCTCGTGTCACAATGTTAGTTACCATACTCCTCCGTAACGGCTGGACCGATTTTTATGAAATTTTGTGTGCACATCGGGTAGGTCTGAAAATCGGCCAACATCTATTTTTCATACCCCTAAATGACAAGGGTGACCCTAAACTTTTTTTAAATATTTCGTAGAAATAATGTATACAGCAAAACAACGTTTGCCGGATCAGCTAGTTAATAAATATTATGTGTTCTTAGATTAGTGATTTATTCATTGGGACTGGGACAAATGGATCACCTACATAGTCAGGTTAGATGGGTTACATAGTCCATTATAAGATAAAACATTAAAACAACCACTCAAAAGTTATAAACTTTGATTTTACATGCTACCAAATTCCCCACCGGCATAAAATTGAGGTCAAATAATTTATATACATCTAAAATCGGTTTTAAAAGTACCATAATTCAAATATGACAGGATTTATAAATTATGTTTAAGGAACATATTGTTATTTTTTATGTTTTAAAGGCTTACTAGCAACTGAAATTATTAGTATTCCCGTTAACCCCTCCAGCTACTCTAGGATTTACTGTATTTCCAACTCCTCCAATTTTCTTCTGATTAATTTCGTTGCGGGTTCCAAGACAGTTTAATTTCTTCCTGGGACTTCTCGAGTGTCATAGCTCGGTGTGTTCGTGGGTCGCTGCTGTGGATCCTGGTGTACAGGAGTTATAGTGGTGGGCGTGTGGGTGGGATAAGCTAAATCGCTTGTGTTAAGAGTGGGTTCACATCAGTAGTGTACTGGTCAGGATTCGAACCCACGACCTCTTGATCGCAAGTCCAATGCTAAATATATATACGAATGTAAACCATAAAACTGTATCTGCGTATGTACATATTTTCATACGTACATATGTATGTGTGTAAGAATTGTAGTTTCTAGTTATTTATAAGTACACTGAAGAGGTGTTGTTTTGTTTTATAGGTTATAATGAATCTAGTCCGTTTGGTATAATAGTGAAAAAGAAATTAGTACAAACCATAACGATAATTTGTTTTATTGTCCCAACAGCTTAGAGTCAGTAATTCCCGCACACATCTCAACCATTAAAATGAAATAAAAAATAAACCATATACTTAAATAAATTATTTTAAACATCGACTAATAAACGGCTTCCTTTCTTTTGTTATTACTTCAAATTATACAACATATATACCTACATAAAAAAAAAAACAAATATAAAAATTACTTAAATATTTCTTAAAATATATTTTTTTCGTACAACAACGTCCAGCCCCTCTAGCGCTGTGTACAACCTTGAACTGTTTTATGTTTGTTTATTTTTTACGTAACTTAAACACCAGTCAATGAGAAATATTTAATCAAAATTGTGATAATTTCTAATAATTTTTAGCGCAATTTATGTGCAAAATTTACATAATTCTAATGATAGTACATCTTTTAACAGTTGACTGTACGTATCAGTAACAACGAGTGAAAACGTAAATACAAAAGGCTGTCCCAAAAAAAAAGTAGGCATCTCTTTGTACCCAGTCTGTGCGCTACAAATATAATTTAATGAAAAGCAAACAGATTCGAATTCCGAGTTGCGAAAGGGCAACCCTCAGATATTTGGTTAGGGCTCGTCTAATTGAGCTCCGGGCCTCGACCGTCTACGTTCAGGTTTGGCCTTACGTACGATACTTATAAATTGGGTTGCGATAAGCAAAAATACACTTATAGCATTATAAGTTTATACTTACTTTGAGATTTTCGCATTAAACGGTATTAATATATGCAACTCAAAGATTTTTCTGTACAAAAATGCAGACAGGTCATCTGTTGGTAAGTGATAAGCCCGGAGAGGGAAGGGGGAGGGGTTGGTCCGATAATTTAATTCACTTAGTGAAAACCAACGGAAGAATTGCTTAACACTGGGTTTCTGTAGGCCTGTAGGCCGTAGTATCCCTACGTCCGGTAATTTCTTTATGTACATTAAGAACACCATAATGCGTGTTGAAGGTAAGATTTGTGAATCTCTTATGTTGACAAATGTACTTCGAATTCAATTTCACTGAAGTGTAGATCCTTGATGAGTACTCGGAGAACTTGTAAAACTCAGAGAAAAATAAACCAGGTTTCAGTGTTTACGTCCAAAAGACTAATTATAGTATATTCAAACTCAGAACAATAATCTGACGATGATGGCTCAATAATTATTTGTCGCGTTTGGAAATTGCGTTACGATTATATCGTCGAATTTCTCGTTAACGCAGTACAGAGCCTGCAACAAAGGGTAGTTATATTACAATGAAATACATTTACTTAGTAAACCATCAATAAATATTCAAACACCATAAAATACACCGTTAAAAACTACAACTGAACTCTTTCTTAAGACAAACTAGCTGGAAAAGAACACTTAAAATATCAAGAAGTGTAACAAAATCCTTGTAAACGTCTTCAGAGAGCAATAAAGATAATATAACCGCTGTTTGTAGTTTGTAACAATTTAGGATGAACAACGAACATGAATCACGAACAAGTTGCATAAAGGCGAAGCAGCCACAGTCAGAGGTAATGGCGGAACTTGCGACGGTAACAATGGACTTATTACAGGGAATCATTGTGCGATATGTATATTTTCAGCAAGAAGCAGCCAGCTTTTGTATGAGTCTCGGTGTATCCTCTAAGGAAATTCTATATCTTTTAGTTGAGTGCAAACGTGAAATATGTAGTGTACAGTAGACGATAAAAAGATCTCGTGTGTAGAATAGTGAAAATGTCAGCTTAAACTTAAATATTTTTCAAAATTAGGTGTTATATCTGGTATATATCCCGCATTCAATCCTACAACTAGAACAAGAATCAAACTATTTCTATACCATATTTCATCTAAATCGGTTGAGCGGTTATTGATTTCCTATACAACCCTTCTCCCTTTTCACCCTCTTAAAGGACAATTTCTTGTGTAAAAACTATCCTATGTCCTTTCCCGTATTCAAACTATCTCTATACCAAATTTCATCTGAATCGATTTAGCGGTTTGAGTCTGAAGAGGTAACAGACAGATAGACAGACATACAGACACACTATCACCTTTATATTAGTATGGATTATATCATGCAACGAAAGTATAAAGTTAGTTAATCCTGTCGTAGTCTAAACTAAGTAATCAGTCTTGTTAAAAGTAAAAAAACTTAATTTAGACTTGTGTTATTAGAATACCTTTGTGGTTTCTAAATTGTTCAAATAATAAACAAGTTTTACGTAAAGCTTTTATATTCCAGACAAGATTAGGAAGACTTCTAAATTCGGAGACTTAATTATTTGAAAACTTTCCAAATCCTTGAGTAGTTTACGTTGATATGAACTGACAAATATAATATTAAAAATTTAAAAATACCGCCTTCATTTGCTTATTGCTAAGCTTTATAAGATTTTGTACTATTATTAACGGGAATATAATATTATTAACGGGCAAGTGAGTTTGTTTGTTTGTTACGCTATCGCGTCTTAACTACTGAACCAATCATTACGAAATTTTACATGCATGTTGCTAGAAGCATAGAAAATTATATAGGAAATAGATAAATAAGATAGGAAAAGAGAAAAAGAAAAGAAAGAGAGATGTTGTGGAAGAGCACGTGTCATGTTCCTCCAAGACAGGGAGGATTCTCCGCCTAGGCGAGGTGATCATGCCTGGCGGGCCGCGGCCCAACGAATAATGTTGGGAAGTTGTATATATGCTAATCGGAGAGAGAATTGCTAAAATCGCGATACAAGATTAGCAGTTACTCCGTATTTCGGTGTGTATTCGTTAGATGGCGCTGTAGTATGTTTCTTCGTTTTCACCGAATGTGGAAGTTGCTACAATATTCACGGATGATTGACATTGTAAGTTTTACGCAAGAACAGTCTCAGGCGAAAGCTAATAAGATATTATCGTCCTGCTAGTCAGACTGTGTAAGATATATGTCGATATTTGTCTCATTTAAGTAGATTTTTTTTACTTTTTATTGTATCCTATTTACATTTCTGTACCTGTATATTTAAAATTTCATCACCATTAAATCATACAGGCAAGGCGTGATATTGTAACAAAAAACCACCCAAACTCTCAAAAAGGAATTACAAATAAACACGTCATCGCTTAAAAATATATCCATTAAGAAATTAAGAATCTCGTTACGACTGTACTCCATTTACCAATTACCACTAAAATCAGTCAGCAATATGGTGTAATGAGTACTTAACTAAATAACGTTAAAAAAAGTTTTACTGATTTCGATGCGCTTACATTATAATAAATATTTTGATAATAATAATTGATAACTTGTAATAAACTGTATTCAGCATTTCTTAATCTCCCGCCCTCACTTGCACCCTCCCTCTTCTTATGGATTAAAGTTTTCTTTAAATTCTAGGAGGACGCTAAAATCGCTTAATAAATAACGAATTTGTGAAAATCCTCCTCCTATTTTTAAGTCGTTTAAA